TTAAAACAGAATGGATGGTCTTTACCTAACTCTGATAAAAGCCATCTCTCTCTCTCTCTCTTTTGGGGGGGGGGGTGGAACTGGGATTGAAAAAAGCCATCTCTTGACAAACCAACAGCCAACCTCATACCAAATGGACAAAAACAAAGCTGTCACTCTAAAATCAGGAACAGAGCCAAGAGGCCTAGGGCAAAGAGATCTACTGTCTCCACTCCAACTCAATATAATTTTGAGCAATAAATAAAAGAAATAATGATAGGAAAACAAAAAGTTAAATTATTATTTACAGATGACATGTTACTTTACATAGAACACCCCAAAAATTCCACCAAAAGGCTTCTAGATTTAATAAGCATATTCAGTAGCACAGCTAGATATAAAGTCAACACTCTTCTTCTTCTTCCTTTTTTTTTTTTTTTTTTGCAGAACCATGGATTGAACTCAGGCTCTTGCACTTGCCAGGGAAGCGCTTACTCCACTGAGCCATCTCCCCAGCTGTTCAATAGCCTTCTTGCAAACTCACTAAGAGAGAAGTCAAGGAAACACCTTTTACAATAGCATCCAAAAAATGGGATACCCAGGAACCAAGCTAATGAAGGAAGTAAAAGAGCTCTACATTGAAAATCACATTACTAAAAAAAAAAAAAGAAAATCACATTACTGGGGCTGGGGAGAAGGCTCAGTGGAATAAGCAATTGCCTGGCAAGTGCAAGGGCCTGAGTTCAATTCCCAGTTCTGCCAAAAAGAAAAAAGAAAGAAGAAAAGCACAGTACTCTGGAAAAGGAGCTTGAAAAGGGTATCAGGCAATGGAAGGCTGCTCTTGTTCTCGCGTAGGAAGAACCAGCATAGTGGAAATGGCCACACTTCTACAACTGTTATGCAGATTCAATGTAATTCCAATCAAAATTCCAACAGCATAGTTCACAGAGTTAGAGAAACCAACCCTAAAATTCATTTGGAACCAGAAGTGAGAACAAAGGCAGGGGTCATCACAGTACCAGACTTGAAATTACTACTGAGAAAAACAGCATACTATTGGGGAAAAAAAAAAAAAAACCCATACAAAAACATCTCTGTCTTTGACATCAACCACCCTATTTTTGACAAAGGTGCCAAATACACTCACTGGAAGAAAGTAAACTCTGAAATAAACGGAGCTGGAAAAACTAGCTTTGCACGTGCCAGAGCGTAAAAGCAGACCCATATCTTTCACTGTGCACTAAAGTCAGAATGGATCAAAATCTAAATATTAAAACAGAAACAATCTGCTGGAAGGTTGAAGAGGTAACACTCTTGAAGACACTGGTGCAGGCAGACTTTATGAACAAAACCCCGATCACGCGGGAACTACCACCACCAACCAACAGGTGGGAATTCATCTTACGAAAAAGCTTTTTCACAGCAAGAAAAACCATGAACAGAGTGAAGAGACAACCCAGTATGTGGGGAAAACAATTTTGCAGCTGTTTCTCAAAGGATTACTACTGACAACACACAAAGAACTCAAAAAAGTCAGACCCCTCAGATTTAAAGACCCAATCCAACACTGGGGGGAATATGCATACGTACCTCTCAGACGAGATACAAACGGCGCATAAACACACGAACAGCTGTTCAGCATCACCGGTCATTTGAGCGATGCCAATTAAACCAACACTTAGCTGCCATCTCACCCCAGAAAGAATGACCATCACTAAGAAATCAACTGATAGCACACACTGGAGGGGCTGTGGGGAAAAGGAAACCTCCTCCACTCTTGGTGGAGGTGCAAATTGGTGCAGCCACTACAGAAATCAGTGTGGAGACTTCTTTAAAAATTATAGAGGCTGGGGAAGGGGCCTGCCCCTTAGCTCAGTTCTTTAAGTGGCTGCTTCAACACAGCAGTCAGGCTCAGGTTGCTGTGGTTTGATCCCCAGAACTCAAGAAAGCCAAACCTGCCCTGAAAGCATTCTGAGCCAGTCCCCCCCACCAAAAAAAAAATCCTTATAGAGGCCGGGGAAATGGCTCAGTAGAATAAGCACTTACTTGGCAAGTGCAAGGCCCTGAGTTCCATCCCTGGTTACACACACACACACACACACACACACACACACACACACAAAACAAAACCCAAAACTACAACTACAGCTGGGCGTGGTGGCACACACCTGTAATCCCAGCACTCAGGAGGCTGAGGCAGAATTTTTGTGAGTTCAAGGCCACCCTGAACTGCAAAGCGAGACCCTGTCTCAAAAAGACCAAAAAAAAAAAAAAAAAAAGATCTAGGACTAGAGGTCCCATTTGACCTAACCATTCCTGGGTATCCTCCTGAAGGAATTAAAAGCATCATACCCCAGGGATCTATGCACACCTATGTTTATAGCATGGCAGAGCACCAAGGCCCTAGGTTCAATTTCCAGCGCCACAAAGACAAATAAACCAACCCCCTGTGGATACAGCAGGGCCTAGCTGGGTTCTCACTCCTCCTAAAACGCCACCAGGACCAGGCTTGTGGGTCCACCACGCACTTGAGGGGGTCGGAGGCCGACAGACCCAGGCTGCTGAGGGGAATGCACTGGGTGGCACCCGGCCGGCACAGGTGCGGCGAGGGCTGACACACCAGAGGACCACTGGGCCTCCCTCTATCCTGCCCCCACCACCAAGCCAGCTATAAGCTTAGGGGGACAGCAGCTGGCACCCTACCTGGCAAGGCCATCTGGGCCCCTGGGTGCCAGGGATGGCCCTGGCCCATAGGTCCCCTCCTGTGTGCACAGAGCACCGGCTTCAAGCCCAGCTTTCCACTCAGCCCTCGCTGGCCTGCCAGGTCCTGGGCCATTCCTCCAGGGAGGCTGGTCCTGTGGGCAGGCACACACGTCACCACTGGGTGGGGGTAGAGAGCCGCTGGCCTGGAGCACAGGGAGCAGGCCCAGGGCACCTGGGTCCTCCTGCCCTGCTTCACAGAACAGGGGTGCTAGTGACTTCCAGGCTTCCGGGGGCAGGTCTGGGTTCCTCTGAAGCCGGGAAGCACCAGGGACAGGACCCACAGAGCCCAAACCAGCCCCAACTTCCCCAGGGACACTTGGTCCAGAGGCTCTCAGCCAAGCTCTGACTCCTGGAGGCTCTGCTTATCTTGAAAAACTGGTCCCTACTGCTTTTTTATTTTAAGGCTTTTGAGGAACAGGATGTGACACAACCTAGTGACAGACCCATGACTCCTGTGTGGGGCCAACTGTGGCACCTGTCCAGGGTCTGCCCAGGTACTGCACGTGCTGGGGCAGGTGGGGGACCTGGGTGCTGCGGATGCAGCCAGCGTCCTGACCTCCAGCCAGGAGCCCTGCCAGTCGTGACAGCCACGGATGTCTTCAGACATCATGAAGTGTCCTGGAGTGGCATCACCTCCGGATGAAGGGCTCCCCAAATTCAATCGCACTGGCTTGCCCTGCCACCTCCTGGTGACTGCTGGCCCCACCTCTCGGGACCAGGAGCCTTCCTGAGCACTCAGGGCACTCTGCGTAATGCCCTCATGACGGAGCGAGGGGCCTGGTTCTCTTGGGGCCAGGAGGCAGCAGATCCACGCAGGCTGGGTATCTGGCCCTGGGTTTCAGACAGCACGGCCCCAGGGGTGAGGGACCCCTGGGCGCCCCTTTCCTCAAAAGTGGAGCCCCACTGGGTGCCAGCTGTAGGAGAGCTGGAGGAGGGACACGGATGGCAGACAGGGTGTCGCACAGACTCCCACACTGCCAGACTGGGCACAGGGTGTGTGTGTGCGTCTTGCTTTGTTTGCCCCAAGTGTCCCACGTGAGACACTTCCACCAGAGTCACCCTGTCCTCTTTAAATCTCCCTGGCCACTAAGAACCCTCATCAAGCCCTTATGACAGTGCCAGGCAGGTGACCCAGGGCACCTCTCTCAGCATGACAAGCTAGGGCCCTCAGGTAGCCCAAGCCCCTTCCCACTCTGCTGCCCATGCAGCGAGAGCATGGGAAAGCGCCTGGGCCACCTGCGCTGGTTCTGAGCCTGGTTCCAATCCCTACTGGCTTCATGGCTTTGGCAGCGTGGGACCTTGGTCTTGGCATCTTCCACCTGCTCAGGTGCAGGAGCAGGCGCCATGTCTGCTGAGCAGGAGGTGCCCAGGGAGTAAGTGGCAGCTGGCCCCACAGGCCCAATGGCAGGTACAGGCAGCTTGCTTCCTGCCCCTCGACTCCTATAAAGCACACAGGCCCTGTGGCAGGCAGAGACCCCAGAGGCCACGCAGCCCTCCCAGTGACGTGGCCACAGAGCACAGCACCATGTCCTCTCCAGCTGCCCACACTGGTTCGTACCCACAGCTAGCATGTGTGTGCGCAGTCGCTCAGTGGCACAGTGCCTGCTGCCACGGGAGGGGCCGACCACTCTGGACCAGAACCCAGTGCCACCTCCAGGAGGCAGTGGCTGGGAGCAGGAGCCCCAACTTCACACCAGCCTAGATGTGACCATGAGGGCCAGGAGCCAGAAAGGTGCTGTGAGTCCTTCAGCCGTGCCACCTCCCTACCAACCCACGACAGCCAAGCCAGCCCAGGAGCTACACACCGTCCTGACGGCCCACCTGGCCAGCCTGCCTGAGACAGCTGCTGCAGGGCCCTGGGTGCCCATGTGAGGCCAGAGCTTCTGGCTGGGCCCCTCCAGCACCCCTGAGCACCTGTGACGCTGTGTGACCTGGTGATTTCGGGTTCACTTGGCCCACGCTGTAAGTAAGGCTGAATGGGGCATTCAAGACTGGGAACCTGGGGCGCCACAAGGGCAGCCTCCATCTGACCAGTGCTTTGGGCCCGCAGGTCCACAGTAGGCTGCGGAGGAAAGTGTGGTACCAAAGGGCAGGGCTCTCTACCAGGCACAGAGCACACTGCAGGGGCTGGGCAGCCTTTGCGTGCTCCCTACCAGGCACACCCCAGGGTGACAGCTACGTGTGTCCCAGACACCCCCCTGGGGTCCCCAAGTGACAAAGGCCTGGTTTAGGGGAATCCTTGGGGAACAAGTGCTTACCTGGGGCCAGGGTCTCCAGTGCCAGCCCCTTCTGTCTCCCCAGCCCTCCCTGAGGTTCTTCCACCTTCAGAGCAGTAGCCGCAGTGCTGTGGGGACAAGGCCCTCGCTGAACAGTCACAACACATGACCACCAAGCTGGTATGCCCCCCCAGAGGATCATTCCCAGCACAGCAGCAGAAGGGGAGGGGGAGCTGGGGGCTCTGCGCCCCTCCCTAACTCTATTTTTATTTTATTTTATTTTATTTGTGTGTGTGTGGCCAGCTCAGCCCACCAGGGGGCGGGGCTGGCTGGCATGTGGTGCTGGGGGATTGAACCGCGGTCCCTGTGCTTTGTTGCTTGTTCTAAGTAGGTGCTTTAGACCACTGATCCATCTCACCAGCCCCCCTAACACTGTAAATGAACAGGCAAAGCCAGACTCCAGAAAATAAAAAGCAAAAAGGGGTGGGAACTTGCCTGGGGGACCCACCTGCTTCCCAGAACCATGAAACATTTTGGGGTCACAGATGGAAAGGATGGTGAGGTCTCCCGAGTCAGGCCCGGGGTAGGCAGCACACTAATGTCACTGTGAGACTTTCGAGGTTGTTGAGGGACACAGGTGGGCAGAGGGGAAGGGGACAGGGGACAGGGGACAGGGGCTGGCTGTGCAGGTCCTTAGGCATCCAAGGCCTGGAAAGGAGGACAGGAGAGCTGCTGGGCAGAAAGACAAAGCCCCCCTCTGCCCTGCAGGTGGAATGGGGGGCTGAGAAAGGGCCATGGAGTGACATGGTCAGGTCCGGGCCTCATGGGCCTGCCGTTCAGGAGCTGGCTCTGGCCACCAGCAGCAGAGGAGAGAGAGGAGGCTGAGGCTGAGGAGCAGGCTGGCACTTAAGTCTCAGAATTCTAAGCAGGGTCACCGTGGAGAAACCTGCACCTGCCACTCACCAAAGCTGTGCTTACAGCAGGCACAGTGGGGAAAGGACATGTGCACCCATGAGTGCGAGGGGACACACAGAGGTCCTTCCATGCTGGGATATTACACACCAGGAAGAAGAGTGAGGCTGTGACACTAGCCCGTGTGGATGGACCCTGCTCATTGAGACACCAGACACAGGACCACAGCGTGGGCCCGGTGGACAGGAAATACCCAGGACAGGTGACTCCAGAGGCAAGCAGTAGACTCGTGGGTGCTGGGCCTGGGAAGGAGGCAGGGGGCTGTTTTGGAGCAGGTCTCTTTTTGGGGTGAGAGAATTATTTGGGAAGTGGACAGTGGTGACAAGGGCCCATTCTGGGAATACATGAAAACCAGATCTGAACACTTTTCCCCCATTTTTCACTGCTGGGGATTGACAGGGTCCACTGAGCTATACCCTCAACTCTTTGAACACATTTTTTTTGTTGACACAGTCAGGCTGGCCTTGAACTTAGGGTGATCTTTTCCACCTCTATCTCCCAAGTGCTGGGAACGCAGGAGTGCACCATCATACCATAAAACTATTTTTGTCAGTACCTGTTTTTTGAGGCAGTCTTACTATTTCAGGTTGGCTCTGAATGTCCTCGAAATCACAGTGTACTCCTGCCTCAGCTTTCCAAGAGCTGGGATTACAAGCATAGGCCACACTTGCAGCTCGACCCTAACATTTTTTACTTGGAGACGGGTATGGCTAGGGCATTAAGTTACTCAGCCTGAGCTCAAAACTGCAAGCCTCCTGCCTCAGCCTCCCAGGGTGCTGGGATGACAGGCGTGTGGCACCACGCCCAACATGACCCAGACACTTCTCGGTGAATCACATGTCATGAGAATTTTATCTGAATAGAGCTGTTACCAACAGCAATCTAAAGAAACATTTTAAGAGAAAGGTGAGTGAAGGTTGCATAACCACATCAAGCAGGGAGCAAGGGCCAAGAGTTCACAGGGGTGAGGTGTGTGGCACTGACTGGACTGAAGGACAATAGCGCCAGGCCAGGGAGCACCAGGGTGACTCCTGCAACCCTCACAGCAGGACGCAGAGGCTGGGGAAGTGGGCGCTCCTCAGGGCACCAGGCCATGCGGAGGCTCTGGTCCACGCTCATCCCTTAGCACACCCTGCTGACAGGGCTACCAGGTCTAAGTCCCCAGGCCAGTGCAGAGCAGGGTTAAGACACAAGGTTAGGGCACATGGGCAGGGACAAGTAGAGCTGACAAGCAGACTTCTAGCCTCACTAGGGCTCAGAGTTGTGCAGGGCACTGTGGACATGGGTGTCCTGGGCACTACAGGTGCTGAGGGATGTCCCAGCTTCCACCCTCCCCCATGCCAGAAGCTGCCCCTGCTCAGCAGCCGCACAGGTCCCCAGACATGGGCGGCCCCACTCTAGAGGGGAACCACAGCATGCTGGGATTAGTGAGCTCCTAACAAACCACGTCCCTCTGTCCAGGCGTCCTCTAGGACAGTGACACTGGGTCCTCGCCTCTCCAAGTGACCTAACAAGACTGCCCCCATTCCAGACCTGTCCCCTTAAATCCCTGCGGTACAAAACCCACTGCGCCAGCAGTCTGTGAAGAGTTCCTCCTGCCAGGAAAGCCCTAGCAGGACTTTTCATTTGCTAGGTCCTCCTGTCTCTACCCTCAAGCCGCTGCCCTCAGGCCGGGCAGATCCTGAGATTTCACCTGGACAACTGTCACAGGCAAGTGGGTCAGTCAGCTGGAGCCTGCTGAAATTGGCCCCCAGCACAGCAACGAAATTACCCTTTAAACAGGAGTCATAGCCAATCAGAGCCCTGGTCTCTGGAGGGAGCTACATCCTTACAAAAATCCTTACAAAAACAGCCCAGTGTACCCTCCTCCCCAGCACCTGGGCCACCTCAGGCCAGCAGTGCCCAGACAGACGCGCCCTTGATGTAGCCACCGTCGAATGTATTCTGCACACACAGCCACACTATCCCAAGGAAGCTCCCAGGAAGACGGCGGTCCCTGTGCACACAGCTAGTCCCAACCCCAAGAGAAGCCCCTGGGTTCCTTGCCATCCTTCAGCCCCGATCCTAGGGGTGCTGTGTGCGCTCTGGGTGCTGGATTTCTCATCAGGCAAATCACTCTCATTCACAGGACAGCAAGAGACTGGGGGCGGGGTGCATCCTCGAGAGCAGAGGTATGAGGTCATCGCTAGCTAGCTCCGTGGACTGCTTGGGGGCTTCCCAGCTAGAGGGGTGCCCTGCACCAGGAGATGCGTTTCGGGTGGAGAAAACAGGGGAAGCAAACAAAGTATCTGTACCCGGGTGGATCTCAAATTCAGGGCTGGGGCCAGGGCAAGGAGGTTAGGTGCTCCATAAGCTTTAACAGAGGAAAATGGCTCTGAGTGAGAGGACACGGAGGTGGCCTGGGCTGGGTCTAGCGGAATGGACAGAATGGAGGTCCAAGAGGATGGGCATAAGTGGGGTCTCCTGGGGACGAGGGAGTAGGGTGCTGAGACATAATGTGTGACACTGGCCAGCAATACTAGGTAAGGGGACCGGAATCAGAGCGGCTGGGTAGGATGAGGACATGTATGTGTCTCAAGCTTGTTGGCTCTGGTTGCTTCCATGTCCCTGGCCAGGCCTGGAGCCTCTAACTGTGACCCTTGGCAGGCAAGGTCCTGGCACCCAAGACTGGCTACATCCGGGAGTCCAGGGCTCAGACTGCATTTTATTGGAAAGGGACAATCAAAACAAGCATAGGTATGGGGGGCAGTTTAAACATGGAGAGGAGAGGGCTGAGACAGTGAGACTGTGGAAGAGTCGGGCTCACAGGCCAGAAAAAAAGAATAACCCAGGTTAGGGGGCGTGGATCTGGCTCTTCTAAAGGGACTCACGGGTGTAACACGGGGTCTTACGTTTTTCTTGGGGGGCCAGGCAGAGCTCAGCCTGACATTTTACAAAGGATGGTGGGCGCTGACTGGCAGGAGTCCTCGCAGCTTGCCACTGGCTCAGAAAATGAGTTACAGCAGCCTAAATTGGGGAGATCTCAGATTCAGGTGGACGCGACCCGACGGGGGGATGCTGAGGCCACCCGAGCCCAGCACAGCTTGGGGGACTCGGTATTCTGGGGGCTCTGATGCTCCTGAAGGAGGATAAGCTGGGGAAAAGGTTGCGAGCTGCCCACCCGCTCATTTTTGGGGTGATCGCTGCCCACCTAGCCGCCGCCTTGGGCCCGGGGGGTGTGGGTCTGCAGCCCCCGGCAGCCTCACCTGGCTCGGTCCTGTCGCCCGCTGACTCCCGCAGGCCCCGCCTGTCCCGGAGCCGCGCCGCAGCCTCCTTCAGTCCCCGCACCTCCTCTTCGTTTGGCCTCCCGCGCCGCAGACGGGATCCAGGGATCCGCGGTCCCTAATATGGCGGCGCTCGCTACTCCGGCGGCCTCCCGGCTCCCTCCCTCCGCCGCGCGCGTCCCCGCGCCCCGACCACGCCCCCACGCCGGGCGCAAGGCGTGCTAAGGCCACGCCCCCTCCACACCCCCACATGCGACTGGAACCGGGCACCTGGCACAGCTGCGCCTGCGCTTGTGGGGCATCTCGGGAGGACATGACGTCATCGACTATTCGAATCAATACAGGAAGCGCAGGACCACGCGTTGCCAGGGGCAACCACGGCCAGAAGAGGCTGAGGCAGCCCTGAGAATAGGTAAATTGCTCTGCTGGTGGAAGGCGTGGCTCCTATTTGGGGAACAGTCATAGCATGAGCTGGCCGGGGCCCGACGCACACAACAGGGTGAGGTGGTCATATCGCATAATAAGCACAAGCGCCCAACACTAACAAATCCTACTGTGAGACATTGATTCATTCAACAGATGTCCATTGCTGATAATGCTTCTGAGTCTCCAGTCCTAATAGCACAGCAGAAAACAAACCAGGTACACTTCCTTGCTGAAAATCAGACTGGGTTGAGGTGGGTATGTTGCTCAATAGTGCTTGCCTAGCATGAGTGTGGCTCGGGGTTCCAGCCTTAGTGCTACCACTACAAAAAAAATAATAAATAAAATAAAAGTTGGGCATGGTGTCACAAGCTTATATCACTCGAGGAGGTTGACACAGGCAGAGCAGGAGTTTGAGCCCGTCCTGGGTGAAAGAAAGGAAAAAAGAGCAAATGAGCTGAATAGATATTTCTCCAAAGACGATATACAAATAAATGCAAGTGACCAATACCAAGTTTTAAGATATCCAACGTTCTGAGTCATTAGGGAAATGCAAATCAAAATCACAGTGAAATATTGGCTCACACCTAGGAGGATGGCTTTGATTCAAAACAAATGAGAGCAAATGGAAAGGGTAGGGGATGAGGGCTGGCAGGAAGGTATAGAAATAGGACTCCTCCCACGCTGCTAGTGAGATTGTAAAATGATGCAGCCAGTGTAGAAAATAGTTTGGCAGTTACTCCAGGAAGTAACCACGGAGCTGCAGTATGACGCAGCAGTCGTGCTCCTGGGAATCTGTGCAAGAGAAGTAAACACACCTACACCAGCACTCCACAGATATCCACCACAGTGTTACGTGGTACAGCTTGAAAATACGCACAGTGCACGTGCCCATCCACTGGTGAGAGGACAGCGTTTGTTCATACAATGGACCACTATTTTACCATAGCAACGAATGAAAGTCAGGCATGGTGGTGCACACCTGTAATGCCCGCACTCCGGGAGGCCAAGGCAGGAAATTTGAGCTCAGTCTGTGAATTTAGGGATTTAGTGAGATCTTGTCTTGAAAAAGTAAAAGGAGCTGTGAATGTAGCTCAGTGTTAAGGCTCTAGAAAACAAAAGCAAGATCTCCAGTATTGGAAAAACGAACCACAACATAAAATTTCCTGAGTGATAATGGTAGCCCAACTCTGTAAATACACCCAAATTACTGAATTAAACACCTTGCAGAGACAAATTATATGGTATGTGAATTATACCTCACTAAAGCTGCTACTTTTAAAAATTCTCTCAAGCTGAGCAGGGTGGCACACTTTTGTAATCCCAGCATTCAGAGGCTGAGAAAGAAGGACCGCCATGAGCGTGAGGCCAGCCTGGGATACATATGAGTTTGAGGCCAGCTTAGATTACAGAGAGACCCTGCCTCAGAATTGATCGATCCATCTATCTGGTCATGGTCGCTCACAGGAGGTTGAGGCAGAAGGATTGCACTGGGCAACTTGGTGAGACCTAACTCAAATTAAATTGAAAAAAGGCTAGGGCCAGCCAGATAGCTCAGTGATTTAAGGCACCTGCTTAGGCAGACACAGGGACCGGGGTTCAATCCCCAGCGTGCCATGCCAGCCCTGCCCCTGGGGTGTGCTGAGATGGCGATGGAGACTGGGTGTGGTGGTGCGCACCTGTAATCCCAGAGCTTGGGAGGCTGAAAACAGGAGCATCACTACAAGTCTGATCTGTGTAGTAAGACCCTGTAGACCCTGTACTAAATACATTAAGAAAAACTAAAAGGCTTAGCATGTTGCTCAGTGCGGAGTATTTTTCTAGCATGTAGTGTTCAATTCTCATCACTGCAGAAAATAAAAATAAAAATTGAGGGGATGGAAAAACAAGATGTTTTAGATACATATTGTTTCTCCCTGTGATGAATGTAAACTGTATGTACGGCAAATATGTACTAATAAAAATAAAAATTGAAAAATATAAAAGTAAAAAGTAAAAAAACATAAAACTGAACCCCTTAAACATAATGTCATGGAGGAAAAAAAATTTTTTTTTGGCGGAACGGGGGATTGAACTCAGACCCTTGCGCTTGCCAGGGAAGCACTTATCCTACTGAGCCATCTCCCCGGCCCCTGCAGGAAAACTATTTTAAGAAAATGAAAAATTTGCTTCTAGAGTGGCACTGGCTATGTTTCAAATGCTACTACAGCCCTCTGGCTAGCAGCTGCCATATTGCTGAAGATGTAGAATGTGGCTATTGTTGTGGGCAATTCTGGCAGGAAAAGTTGTTCCCGAACATTGCCAGACAGAGAGAAGAGCAAACCGTGTTAATGCGGTCTGAGGCGTAGCTCCGTGGCAGAGTGGGTACTTAGTGTGTGTGAGGCCTGCAGGAGGCTGAGGCAGGAGGATCATAAATA